ATTATCAGCATCACTATAAGCAAGTAAAGTCCAACAGATTGCCAAGACTGTAAAAATCTTTTTTTTTTTTTTTTTTTTTCAATTTACATTTTGTAATCTATAATCTTTCAGGGCAAAATACCTGAACAAACAGATGACTTGATCCTGTCTATTTCTCCCTGTAGTTGCTGGAAGTCCTCGACCAGAACCACACGTTGTTCTTTTCCTGCTATCTGTATCAGGGTTGCATTATCTATCTGTAGACCAATCCCAACTGCTACTATGTAAACGCGCTTGTCCTAAATTTAACACAATAACGAGAAAAGAAAAGAGGCAAAAGTACTATTAACTGGCTCGGACGTACATGCAATTTCATACCCCCACCCTAGTACAAGGGAAAGGGAGGGGGTTGATGGAACCCCTCCCCAGAGTTTTTGATATGTTGCAGTATTTCAAAACGATTTTGCCTTCAGTGGAAAGCCTTTGATCTTCTCAACAAGATGAGCTATAACTTATGAGTGGTGACGCTGCGCGCTGGAGGCCTGTGACGTCACCAAATATGGTCGCCATCTTGACCGCCATCTTGAATTTTACCAAGAATTAGAAGTCAGGTTAAAATCTAGCCTGCGAACGGAAGACGTTTCGCGAGGAGGAACGTCTGCGATTCAGCGACAGAAATTCCATAGTGATGACGCAAAACCTGTCCAGAATCCGGTCAGATGCGCTAATTGGTCGACGGAGTAGTTTCATTGCTCTAGCTATTGTTTACGAAAGACAGACAAAAGACAAAAGGCGACAAAGGTCAAATGTAAACGCGATGAATCTCTAACAAAACAGTCAATATGTGTGGAATATAGTCTTCTCTAGAAGAGGCATTTGAGTTTTGCTGAAGCTCATTCGCAGATGAACACAACACTTTTCCAAAATTGACCAGGAGAAACGTAAAATTTAACAAATTTGCATTTGGAATCCCATGACTACCGGATTTATTATGTAAACATTGATTCACTCGAGTGTGGAACACAGTGTCCTTGGCAAATCGCTGTTTCCTTTTCGAGAAAAATCCTTAGTTAGGTCCAGACATTTTGAAGAAAAATAGAGCCAGTGCAATCTTTATCTAGCCACAATAAAACGCTTATTAAACGCTTTGAAGGCGCACAAAGAAAATCATTGTCATACTGCGGCATGCAGAGACCGAATTCCGTTTCCCTGGTCCGAGAAGTTTTTCTTGAATTCAAAGGGAGACTAGCTTATTAAAGGTTAGAATGCTCCATGCACTTTATAATCTACCCGCTGGAGAGAAAAGAAAGAATAATATCTGTTGTTCAAGCAAATTCCAAGGTCACGTTTCACACTATCACTTGCTTGGCCTCGCCTGTCAACACTTTATTTCTTACTATTGTTTCTAGCTTGTTATGTAACTTATGACGTATTTACGTGACCGGCATCTTCCATTTTTTATTTTATTTTATTAGCTTTGCCCTGATGAATACAAAAAAACTGAAGATATGCAAATACTAGTAATAAGAACGTAACAATACACTAATAATAACTTAACTAAAGCCGATTACTTCCGGTCCAGATCGTACGAAAGCAAGCATCCAACGCTAAAAATCTGCCCCTCGGAAACTAGTTTTAGCGAAGTCGATGTTCAAATTTCAGATGAGAGAGATTGTTTTGGTGTCTGCTGAGGAAAATGGCGCCGATTTATCCACGGACTGACGAATTCTGGCGGGTTGAAAATTGACCCAAATTAGTTTCATCTCTTGTCTCTTTATTATATGTTAGCCGCTGTTATTCGTCCGCAGTCATTGCCTTTAACGGTTTTCCGAATCATTGGATAATATATACCAGGTTTATAAGTTGACCGAATGACGGTTTGCTCGATTAGTTTAATTTACAGTATAAAAACAAAGGCAATGCGAGGTGTCAACCGTAAAATTTAACTACAATCAACGTCCTAAGGGGGTCAAGCAAAGAACTCTGGCCACTTCGAGAGTTCTTGACAGTTTCACTGTTACTTGCGGATCTCCACCCTGATAAATACTCCTCTTCCTTAGGTTTCAAGAATGCCAGAAGTGTATCGAGAATTTGGAGCCAAAATTATGGAAATTGCGGTCGAGGAAATTAACGCTCCACCTAATGAACGTCGCGAAAATTAACGTTCACATAAAAACGTGAATTCTTGAAATTCGCGTTAATTTCATGAAGCGTTAATTTCCTATAATAAGGTATTTTGTACGCAAGGAACGGAGGACTGGGTCCTCTAAAAGTAATTTTGAGTAGATTCTGAAATGTACATGACTTTGTGTATTGTTGTTCCTTTGCAAATTCAAATCAGTCTAGGTCAGAATTCACTTGAAGTACTAAATTTGTTTTTTTTTTTATTCCGTAATGGTACTTTAAGTTTCGCGGGTACTTAATTTCGCGATTTTGACGAGATAGTATTTTGAGCGGTTTTGTGTTTGCGATTTCAATGGGCAAATATGCTCTAAACTTCATTTAATTTTTCAAAAAATCTGAACTTTTGAAAGCTTTTAGATAAAGTGGATGAAAATGATAGCCAAAGTCTCTACTCCGTAAGTGTAGTCTGTACAAATTAATGCTATTTCACGACAGAAGATACAAAAAAGAACTTACTAGTCAATAACTTGTGTCTCGTCGATACATATCCTGTATATGTTGCTGTTATTAAATCTTATCCAGTTTCCTTTGCGATTTGAATTTTCTTGGTATTTAATTTCGCGGGAAGCTTTATTCGCGAGTCTGTTAAGTATAGTACCAATAAGGTATTTGTTTGTAGCCATTTGGAAGTCGCTGAATTCCGCGTACCTTTGCTCCCCAAGTTGTCGGGAACGAAGCAGACTTCAGCAGGTGGGGGGTACGTCCCCTTACTTCCTCAAGTAGTTTGGGTTTTCGCATCTGGCGTTGTGGTACTTGTTTTTTTTTTTTTTTTACGAGATTCATGGGTTTTTATCATAGTGGGTTTCGTAATCACGCGCGCACTTACAGTGTACAAGTGTATAATTTTGCCACAAACTGGCTTTGAGACCCTTGCTGACTTACAGGCCCCTGTATCTTTTGAGCTCCGCTTTTTTGTGTGTCCTTTTGAAAAGGGTAGGCAAAATCTAATATTTTCTGTAGAACCGAAGTGTGACTTGAATATACGGCCAGCAAGCGTTCACTGGATTACGGTTAAATACTAAGGAGTGCGTACTTACCTGGAAATCACGTGAAATGTTTTTAGCAAATTCTGCAAAAATTAGATCTTTCGGCAAACGCAACGGATTTCCATCAGTCAGGACTAACATAACGTTGGGTCTGTCAGGTCTGTCGCCTCCCGCCTTGGTGAACAGCTGGTCGCGAGCCATTTGCAGAGCAAGGTCAGTGCGAGTTCCCCAGTCGATTGCTTGTTTTGTTGGTATTTTATTTATTTTGTCCAAAAGTCTACTCTTATTGTAAAATTCAGAGGCAGCGAAGTCAAACACCAATGTTGCCGTTTTTCCCTCGAAAGTAATGAGCCCAAAGTGATCCTCGTCAGGTGCCGGCTTGAACTTATTTACCAGGTCTTTAAGGAAGGTGATAACTTTTTCTAACTCTTTCTTAATGATGCTTTGACTTTTATCCAAAAGGATTCCAATATCAAGTCCGGCAGTGCATGAAGGTGCTGCAAAGGAACAGAACGTAATTAAATAATAATATCGAAAATAATAATAATATTACAGCGGCTACCACTGACACGCGCCCTCAAAGGGTTTGTTCTTCGGTTCAAACCTGCGTTTTGGTGGACGTCAATCAACCGTTACCATGGTTTTTCACGCGTTGGCCAAGAGAAGATTCTGTCTCCGTTTCTTGAGCACTCGGGAGAATACTAGTTTGTCGGCGTTTCAGCCGTTTTTGCAATATTTTACTGCAGGATCAGACACCAGTTCATTTCAAGATTACGAGGAGAAAGAATTTGTTGAGTGTTTCTCGGAGGAAACTCAACTTATCGACATATTTACACACTGTAAGTTACAACCACATAAGCTTTCTCAATCGCTCGCAACTCGTCTGAGTTCTTGCTAGTTCTGGTTTCTATTCGATAACATGAAGAATGATAAGTAGTAAAATTCATTTTCGACAACAGCCTCCATTCAGAGGAAATTTTTGCCCTTTTCGGTGTGATATCTTTTGTTTCTTTGAATTTATACTAGCTTCTTGACAATTCAGTCGTCCACGGCTCCCGTGTTTTTATACATCAAGAATAAACAACCTGAATAACCGTTACGTAAACTATGGAGAATGTTTCGGCTATTTCAATCAGCTCGCAGAGACCTCGTTGTTTTAACAATGTGATCCTTCATCTTAATAAAACAGCTCAAAAAGACGTCGTCGTTCGAAATTATTCGTCCTTCATTCAGCGATGAGGGAACCTTCTCTGTCAGAGCGCGTAGAAAACCATGGAAACAGTTGATTGACGTCCACGAAAACTCAGGTTTAAACAGACAGAAAAAAAGAACCCTTCAAAGGCGCGTGTTAGTGGTAACCGCTGTAATAATAATACTAATACTAATAATAATAATAATAATAATAATTTTATTGAACTGTAAAAAGATTTGTACATAATTTACAGAATTATTTGAAGTAAGAATTAAGCACTATATAACATTTTAGAATTATATAAATCATAAAAATAGCAATCACTGTGCCAATAGCGATTTCGCAAATACATTCCTTGCGGCTCAGATGCGGTCAATGACTTTTGCACGCAAACCAGAGTTTTGAATTAAGTAATTATAGAAGAGAATTATCCGTCTCTGATATTAAAAAGAAAACAAGTTAAAAAGAATAAAATCTCGTATTCCTAAATTCCCAATTCTTTAAAAGACCTGTAAAAGACATAAACAGAAAATTTGCCTCGATGAATATCCGTTGCATTGTGATTTATCGTTTCGAGGTCCGTGAGCAGGTTTTAAATTCAGTTTACTGACTTTACCTCTTCAGCGCACTGACAAAAAGATTGAAATCTGAAGTGGTACAGGTCATCCCGGCAAAAGTTCCGAAAAATATGGAAAGCCTACGGCGTATTCCCTTTTTCAATCCCAGTAGGAATAGCTGTAAAATATTAGCTTGGGTGAAATAAAGCACTCTATTTCGAGTGGCAAACAAATGCGCGAACAAGTGGCTAAGATGAATGTCATGACCAGGAAGATGAAAATATATTTCTAAGATCTTAAACCTGCAAATTTGTTGACATAATGTATTTGACATGTTGTGTTATTTCTAGATTAAACAGGAACTACCATAGGTTGATTCTTGGTCACGTGGTCTTATCTAAATATTCAAATGAAGAATGACGGGAAGTGGCGTGACAGAAGGTGGGTAAAACATTGCCAATTTTCGTTTTCATGGTTACCTGGCAACTCAAACATATTTCAGTCTTTATTTTAAAACAAAACGGCTTTTCGAAGTTACCCAAGAAGAGAATTGCAGCAGTTTCAGGAGGAAAAGCCTCAGATAAAAATAAAATCATTCATTTAGCCGACTTGAGAATAATTTTGTGTTTTTTAAAGTAGGGACATTTGTCTGAGATTCGCACTTTACTCTTGGTCGCTGTGGAAGAGAAAGTCTGATCTACGAATATAACAAAATACTTAATGTCAGGTTCCACGGGAAACCAGTTAGTTTTGTCAGTTTTCCGTCGACTTCGTCTCTGGAAACTCTGGGGCCCTAGGGAAAACAAATCTAACTCGGTTTCCTTTGGGACTTGGCTTAGGGCCTGTTTACATGGAGTGGGGGACCCCAGGCTAGTGGGGCTGGTTTCTTTCGTTTTCACGCTCTGGGGGACACAAAACAAAAGAAACCTACCCCACTAAACCGGGGTCCCCCACTCCATGTAAACAGGGTCTTAAAGTGCATCATATCATATTGATAGAGGTTTAGTTCCTATTATAATCGTTGATTTAGCTCTTTCCTGGCCACTAAAATCATAAACTGGAAACAACCCAAGAGACTTACGGCATCCTTGTTCATTGCATGCGGCTGTCTTGTTTGCCGGTCCCAGTTCACTGCAGTTCTTTCCACCATTGGCTGGTGGGTGATTGGTGCAGGTTCTTGTAAAAGTCTTTACACCTCCTCCACACGTTACACTGCAGTCAGAAATCGTCCAGTTGGTGTAGCCGCCGTTCACAGCTGTAAAACAGATAAAAAATTTGTTTAAAATTTGCACTTGCAAAAATAAGCCTCTTGTCCAATTTGTAACAACAACAACAACAACGACAACAACTTCTTATCATAACGTTCGGATAAGACTCACCTGTGCAGGGTGGTAATGCGATGAAAAAGATTTTTGAATTCTTTCATTTTCACTTATTGAGGGGTAGATTTCTAATTCAGTGGATTTAAACTTGAAAAGCATGGACATGGGTTTCCCCGTTTTAGATTTCTAGAAGTATTGAACATAAGTGTATGGACGTTAATAAAACTAACGTATAATCTTGGCACTGTTAGCCATGATGCCAAAAAGCCATGATGTTTCTGTTTGCGGTTTGCAATGTGTATTCCCTTTAAGTTACAGTCAGACCTCCACTAACAGCCACCTCTCTAAAACGGCCTTTTTTTTGGCGGACAGTCCATTCATTAGAGAGTTTAAGGACGGTGCCCACTAACGGGAAGTATTTTTTCCCAGATAATGACTATGTGAGACAAGTAGATCATATCAGCGGCTATTGAAATCCAAAAAGAAAACTGGGGTAATCACGTATTTTTCAGAGATAACTGCGCTTCAATATGGAGAAAAACGCTGAATAGGCATTTTTTAGAAAAATGATAAAAAGTTATTTTTCCCCAAATTTCAGAGTGTGCACGTAAACTGGCACAAATGCAATGGTAATTGCAACAAGGTTTCAAAATAAGCAACAAATGATAACATAACAACTGCTCTTTATACCTTTTTTTTGAAATGTCAGCACAACAAGTAAGTTATCAGCAGTTTCCCCGAACCAAAAATTGATCGTTTGCTGAGTAGGCTTATTACTTTCATTTGGTAAGATAAAAAGTAGGGGTTACCACGCGTTTTTAGAAGTTAAATTGGTTGGTTTCGACCTTAACTTAGTCGCTTTGGGGGTTATTTGCAATTTTTCCCATCCCCTCCCTGGTCAGTTTCAATATTGCTTCACTCAAGGCGGAGTACTCTGGGATATCCACAATGGCTGATAGTCAGAGAACAACAACCCACGGAAGAGAGCAAAAACAGAAAGTGAAGCAGGACATTTCATGGACTATAAGGAAAACAAATTATACCATTTCATTCAACTGGAGTTTCTCCGTCTTAAAAATTTAACAAAAATGTTTGGAGAGGAGCAATCTCCAAGGTATTAAAGATTACTTCCAGCGAACATAGAGTAGTATGGTGAGCTCAAGATCCAAGGCTGGCGCTGTAAACAAAATACTGTACTGTAGTGGAAAATAGTCGACAGGGACTCTTAGACAGGTACTCCTTCAATCGCTTGCTTACCTGTACATGTCCTCAAGAGTTTTTCAACTGTGGATGTAATATGGATTGTAAACCTTCTATCATTTTTTGTCATTTTACCGGGTACCTCGATCGAATATGTTATTAAACTTGCATGCATTCAATGAGCTTATATCTGTGCTTTGCGCTATCTCTTTGGGGCTTTGCCACAAGTTTCATATGACATAAATGATTGGTATATATAGACTCAAGTTCCATACATGATCATGAGCTCTCTTTTAAAAAAGCTGAATAATGCGAAAGTAGTTGTACCGAATGGCTTTATGTACCCTCATATTTAAACTGGGCTAAAATGATCATTTTATATATTTCGTTTTGATTGTTTTTACTGTAGCATTCTGTTCATTTCCGTTCCTAAATGTTAATTTTAGACTTAACTGTGTCTGATAAACCTAAGAAAGTTTTAGAATGGAAATATTTTATTTACCTTTCATCTTTAGTTTGTAAACAGCCAAATGGCAGCTATGTCTAAATGCCCAAGTTATGTGTGGCGTGAAATTGAACCTTAAGAAATACTATCTACACGACAAGCTGCCCAATGAGTCAATAATTTTAATGCTTAGTACTGCCAAAATATTAAAATAACAATGATAATAGTAAATAGCATAAAATTTTTTTACGATTTGTTCCACGATGACAGCGTTTCCTTTGCGGTCCGCAACTATTTGTGAAGCTGCGATTTCAGCAATCCAAGTAATCTTGTGATAGTTTTACAAAAGCCTCGGACTCTCAATAAAAGGGACATCTGTATGTACTCGAACGCTTTAAGTCTATCTTCTGGTGAATAATTACATAAAATCTTACAAAATTAAAGAAATATTCGGGAATGTGTTTATAGCCGATTAGCCGATAAAACGCGAAGGACGCGAGTGAAGGTAAGCTTGCAGTTTCGCGATTAAGCGCAGGACTTAGAGCTATTTTCCTTCTGATTTACTGATCCTTGCCTATTGAGAGATTGTTTAATACCCAAGCTCCAAGCGTAACATCTCGAAGCAATAACTTTTGATGTTTTAGAAGTGACTTTTGTTTGACTATAAAATGTTTGGTCAGATCGACCATACGGCAAAAATAGCAACATGCGCATACTTCTTCGGTTTTCAAAGAACTGACAAGGTAAACAGGAATTATTTTTCGCCTGTTGAAAAACGGTTCCTCTTTTCCACAAGAAATAACTAGAACCTCCCAGACTTAGAGGAGACAAAACCAGTCCGCGTGTTTTGCGTGTTGCGCATGGGCTTTCGCGTCGCCCGCGACTACCTTGGCATGCGCTAAAAATGTGCGCAGTAACAATAGTGGGCACCATCCTTAAGCTTGAGAATTTCTCAAAATAGAAAATGGGCAGATAAAAACAGCTCAAAACAATTCTTATGGATAAAAAATTGCATGAAACTACTCATTTAGGTGCAGAAATAATGAACCGTAAACGAAAAGTAAAGAGGAAATTTGGTCACGTGGTATAAATTCGCGTTTGCCGTTTGACGTAAACGAGTTAACCTCTCTATTGACTCTTGTTCAAACCTCTCTACAACGGCCATTGTCGTCTGTTCCTAATGTGGCTTTTATCGAGAGGTTTAACTGTTATTGATGCTGTGTTTGAGGTCAATGCCCAATATTGCAACATTTCATGGAAAATTGCTGACACAATTATAAAACCAGTTGATTTTGAAACGCAAATATCCCTGATATAATAAGCCCCTGCATGGCACCGGTCTCGTAAGTGAGGTGTCGTATATGGATAGGGTTTGTGCCATTTTTTTGTCCAGTGTGATCACGTATTTGGCCCGTCACGGAAGTAAATAAGTAGGAGAAGGGCTGGACCCCACTTAGATGGAAGTAAATATCCAGGAGTTGAGAAGTGGGATTTGCACTAAACCCTCTCGGCTAACCACGCTGGAAAGATGTTCGATGTGAGTGATCGACCTGTGCCTCCCCGGGCCGTTGCCGTTCATACCACACCAGGAGCCGATTACTTGGAGCTTCCATACGTGCTGTACCCTTGAGTCAACCCTTTCCGATAAAGAATTATTTTTAGAAAAGGCTTTCCCGGGAAATTAATTTTAATTAATTGTTTTCGACGACGTCCGCATATTTCTGTAGTGAGAAAAAAATGGCCAACAAGTTTACTCCTTGTTCCATCACCGTAGCTCCTGCCTCCGTTCCTTCCCTTACAACCGAGGAAAGCTGGTTTCGAGTTAATATAAATAATATGTACTCTGGCTTAAAAATATTGCTATATTTTGTTAGCACCGTGCGGATGCGTAAATTTTGCTCGTAATGTTGTATTCCATCGCCCTTATTTAAAAGGAGCTTTTCAAAGAATTAAAAAGTGAGACTCTTTGTTGGAGAGCCAGTCTTTTTAAAAGGGAATTGGAGCGCTTACGGTAAGCTCTGTATGGAACCGGCAAATCGGAGGCAATTTTGCGCCTTCCGCGGCCTTTGCAAGTAGAAACTGTCGGAAGATGTGTCTTATCTACCGCAACCTGGGACAGCGAAAATCAGGATGTTTTCTCATGATTTTGAAGGATTTCATTTAAAGAAGCAAAACGTCGAAGTAAGCAAAGGTATCGGTTTATGTTGTCCGGATTTTTATTCATTTTGATGGTGCCATATAAGTCATTATTTAGTTGCCACAAGACATGAAAGCTGCAAAAACCCTTTGAGTGCAGAATTATCAAACTCAGGAAGAAATTAAACACTGTTTGGCAATCACACTATTTCTCAAGATGCTACAAGATTTCATGGCCGCAGCATATACTTGTAGACCTCAAATAACTGCAAAAGAAATATACAGGAGGACGTGACATGCCGTAACATATAACTTCCGCTGTGAAACCTTTCTTTCATTCAAGGATTGTCGCTAGCCCCATCGGCTCGCTCCTTTTTTAATTTTATGACTGCGTGTTATTTTCCTTGTTTACATGTTACTTAGTTTCTTAGTAGCAAAAGAAAGATACCAGGCTCAGTAGATTCTGTATCGACAGTTGTTGTATTGTATGAATGAAACCCTCAGTCAGTGTTAGGTACACAACAGTTAATTTCGCTTTTAATTTGATTTCATTCCTGTCGAACATCTCGTTTGTTTTGTTTGATATGTCCACTTGAAATATTTGCCGTTTAGATTGTATGTTATCAAAAGCCATTTTCATCCACAGCCACATTAATTTGGCTTATAAAAGTCCGTTCATAATTCGAGACCTCAGATCTCACACAATTACAGAAAAATTAACTGTGGGATGATGCAGTGTGGTCCTTTGTGAAATTAGTGAAAAGCTCCAAAGCATTGCACAAGTGAGCTAACCAGTAAAGTAAAGTGACTAAAGAGCTTGGTTTTTCAATATTTATTTACCCGCTGTCGAGGGCCGGGACTGGGTTGTTCGAGATAAAACTTATGATACTGTATTTATTCGAATAAGCGCCCAACCTCGAATTAGCGCCCACCTCGAATAAGCGCCCATCCTGAAGGCAGAAAAACTTAATAACCGCCCAGCCTCGAATAAGCGCCCACCCCCACCCCACCACCCTCCCACTCCCACTCAAACTTAAATAAGCGCCCACCCCTTTCCCCTACCAGAGACTTTTCCGAAGACGGAGTTCTCGTCAGAGTGTTTTGCAGAAACATTGCATTGTTACATCTTCGCGTTTTGTTATTACCATTTACCGTTTTGTTGCAAAATATACGTACTACACTTGTTGAAAATGGTGAAAATTTAATAAGCGCCCAGCCTCGAATAAGCGCCCACAGCGCCCACTCTTAAGGTCCAAAAATTTAATAAGCGCCCAGGGCGGTTAATCGAATAAATACGGTATGCAGCCAACTGTCAAGATTACAAGTAAACTTGAAGATGCATGAGTGTATCATGATCACCTTTTTCTTTTTGTTTTTAGGCTTTAAGCGGGTATTTTTAACCCGATAGTCATAGAAGATCAGAACTATCATCAGATAACTCTTCCACGCTGGCTACCGCCATTATTGGCAGCAATTCAAATCTCGCTTCTGTGACTCAGCGTGTGACGCAGGCGTGAAAAATATTCCGCGAAAGCTATTTCTATAAATAATTTTTTGTCGGAAAGGGTTGACTCCAAGGGCTTATATGGGAGATGGAGGCTCCAAGTAATCGGCTCCTGACCACACCAGATACCTTTTCGTGACGCCATGAAACGTAGGGCGCTTTCCATTTACGAAAAAAACCCGGAAATTTCGGTACAAAAGTGACCGAGGTGTTGTTCCATTTGTTCAAACCCCGGTACGTGGCCGTCTGGTACAAACTACAAGAAACGTTAATCTGTTCAATAAAGTGTTAACGAGAAAAAACGTGTTCCATTTACCGGAAAAATTCCAAATGGGGTAGCCTTACAATCTCGTTGTCTTCAGGCCATTTAAAAAGTTTCGAACGTATAAGTTCGATGACGAAAAAATTTCTCATGAAAAAAAAACTTGCGTTGCGTTACTTCCGATTCCCCCAAATTTGGCCCATAGGAAGTTAATAGATTAGCCAATTATGTGCCTAGGTCCAGCCCCCGGGGAGTTTTGAGCTTCACGCAACGATTTTTCATTCGGTGAGCGCTTGTTTCCATATCTCAAACCGCCCTTCCCCTTTTCACTTACACTTACATGAAATTTCTAAGTTTCTTGACTCAGAGACTTAGTTTCGGCTCAACAAAGTGCACGTCTCTTTAACTTTAAAGGAAAAAAAAAATTGCGAATTACGAGCAGAAATCGATCCTAGAGTGCAAAATTTGCAGATTCCTGCCCTAACCACTAGACCACCGAGGATTCGCTGCAGAACATCGGAGTAATTTAACTACTGTAGCGAAAACCCTAACCCTAAATAGAAGCTTACCGTTATAAACCCTAATCAATACTAGCGTTTACCTTTTCAAAAACTTAGATAAATGGCGACCCGACTCGGGAAGTATTTGTGGCTGCTTTTGCGAAGAATGAAAGCTTGTATTGACGAATTTCAACCAAATACAAGTCAAGGAAATTATTTTGAAGGATTCTGGAGGATAACAAGCAAAACAAACACGAAAATGGAGGTGAGAAAACAGTAAGAATCCTTGCGTGCCGATCGCCGATTCGTCAAAGTCTGCAGCACGTGTTGTTGAAACGCAATGAATTCCTTCCCGCTTGACCATCGCTTAGCTTTTTGCCTTCAAATCCTTGCTTATTTTGATGAATTATATCAGCAAATTCACGTTTGCTTGTCCTTAACTCGATATTTTGATGGAAACCTAAAAACAAAGCGTCTTTGTAAGGTAAACACTTGAGCACGAGGGACGCCAAAGTATAGAATTTCATTATGTTAATTATAATAATCCAATTAGCATAATCTGATAGCGTCACTAAATATTTGTAGAAAATTCCAAGCCGCTCTATATTTTCGAACAATTTTGGGGTTGTTTTGCTTAGATATTGAAAAACATATTTGTTACTACCATATTACGCAAAATAGACACATTTCCCGGCAGAATGACATACTTTATAAATTTGAAGAATTTTTATGCAGAAGTATGCCTTGTTAATTTTTTTTTTTGCGGAATATTATGGGTTTCCTAAGACCGAAATATTTTTTCTGAAAGTTTAATTTTTGCCCTTTCCAATGAGGTGTAGCTTTATATGGAACTGTAAATAACAACAGAGATATAATGTTTTGAAAGTTGTATGGTCACAAATACTCAACCTCGTCCCCAGGGCTTTTCCCTTAAAAAATGGGAGGCCATTTTTCAAGGGAAAAGCCCTGGGGACGAGGTTGAAAAATACTGAAATAACCCTCCAAAGACAATGGGATTTATATAAATTATGTAATATATCTAGGCCAATTTTGCACGCTCGTGAAGCTACGTAGAATATCAGTTAAAACCACCTACGGCACAAAGCAGCTAACACGTTGTCAAAATGTTTGGTCAGGGCTGAAAAATCCTGGTACATAAGCACTTGTCCCTTGTTACCAGCCATTTCTTTCATCTTAAGTTTGTTTTCTTCAGCCTTCCAATTTTTGCCGAGTATTCCAACAACAGTGATGCTAACATCTTCGTCCTGCGAAACAAACACAACGCAAAGATTAAATTTGCAGCTATAGTCAAACCAAAAATCAAGACTAACCTGATAATAAAGCTTTTGGATGGAGAGAAGGGGATGAGAGGGATCGTGACAAGAAGAGTTTTTAAATGCTTTTATTTTATGGCTACAATAGTACTCACGCTCTCACTGGTTGCTAAGCGGGTTTTATTTTCTAGTAATGACCGGGAATTACTTGCTAGGTGTCCAACTTGATAGTACACATCCTTATGGACATCTATTTTACGGTCAATTGACAGCTGTCAAAAAGGGTATCCGCTGACCAGTTATTGGTTTTAATTGATCGCAGGCTTATAATGAAAAGGCCATATCACTATCACTCGGTCAACACATCAATGCAAGGCCTCGGTCTGAGATTTCCTTGTACTGAACTCCCTCTCGGTTAATACGTAGTATTTTAATAAGAGACGAACATCACCCCTAAATAATCTGAGGTTCTGGTTTGACATCAGTCTTGGGTTGGTTTCACTCTCACATTCAATTCTGGCTCTTTCTCCAGGATTCTATACTGATCAATTTGTTTTAAAAAGCACAATCTTAAACTGGAAATAGGAGCCCAAAGAAACACATTAGAAACAAAATTTGGAGTACATTAGAAAAACAGCGCAACAACTAACTAACAACTGTGGCCCACAACGATAAAAAGCATCGCAGTTGTGCAGTCGATTATAGATAATAGAAATCTTATATAGACCGTATGTTTGTGTATAAAGTTCCGATATGATAGGCTTAGCTTTGTAAGAAAATTCCCAAATAATATACCCAACTGAAATGGCCGCCTTATATTCGAAGAGGCTTTATTCGTGACTTAAAAGACTTACCTCCAGTTTTTTTGTGCTCTCTGAAAAGTTTTGGAAGGGTGAAATCCTTTGATCTTTTTTTAACATAAATTGTTTTCCATCAGTAAAGACAAGTAGGACATTTTTTGCATCTGGCCTGTCTCCTCCATCGGTAGTAAACAGCTCTGTTGCTGCCTTGTGTAGAGCAATATCTGATCGAGTTCCCCACTGATTCCTACCAGGAACTAAATGGGCTTTCTCCTTGATCAGCTGTTTAAAAGCAGCCTGTTTATTGTAGTACATCCGCGTTGCAAAATTGTTGTGGATTTTGACTTTACGATCGAACGTAATAAAACCATAGTGGTTTCCTCCATCAGAGACTGGGTAATTGTCTATCAACTTGCTAGCCAATTCGTACAGGGTCGTTCTTTGCTTTTTTTGCATGCTTAATGAAGTGTCAGCCAGAAAAGCTATATCCAACTTCTCAGTACAGTTGCCTAAAATGAAAGAACACAAATATTAACTTAGTATATAATTGGAATGTGTACGTTAAAATCAGCAGTCACACGGGAACGAGCTTTTTCAAGAAAAAAAATGAATAAGTATAAGCAAGAAAGACGTCTTAACGACGATAAGAATCGTTTATTAGCTTTCATTGTTCGGCCGTCGGTAACTCGTTTCACACTTTACATAAACGGGATATCTCTTTAAAATTGCAGAACTCCAGCGCTGGTCTTTTATCTTGCGCTCGAAGGAAAACACTTTCCTTTACTAATTCTCCTGTTAACAACCCTTCAATGCCATTTTTATTACTGCCTATATCATGGGAAGTAAACAATCAGACTGGGATCTGCAAAATACAGGATACATCTCGACAATGTCAGCGAAAGTAATTATACAACAACGCAAAATTAATTATGACACGGGCAAATTGAGCGACGCATAGCGCTTGACTAAGAGAAAGCGTGAACTATCGAACGTCATCCAAATTTGAAACTAAGCCTTGATGACGTTAAACTCATTGAGGGGGCTTGAGCCTTTGGTTCTTTCACATGGCCAGCGGTAGAGAACCGTAATGTACAACATATCATCGGTAAGTAATAGTTATCAAATGGTTAGCATTAGATAACATCGAGTGAAGCCAGATTGGACACCTTATGAATTTTACACAACGCATTATTTTCATAATGGAACGAGACTGGAATGTAGAATGAGACTATAAAAGCTGAAGAAACCAAAACTACAGAGCACCGGTTATGGAGAGAACACAGTAGAGAGTTAAGCACTGATCTACAGTGATTAGGGTTAAGCACTGAACAGAAAAAGGTTAGCTTTCAAATATTGTAATGGGGTATGGCATATATAAGAACATGTATATTTTAAAAATTACTGGATTTGGTAGCTAGTCCTCAATAGTGTAGTGGATATGGATGTAGGCTATAAAACAAGTTACCCGGGTTCAAAGCATCACAGTGAAGTTTTTCTATTTCACTTTTATATTACACAGTAAAGTTGGACTTAAGATGTTCTTCATGTAATTTTATTGAAAGAAACAATTTGACTTTAGCCGATGTTACCTAAAGCTAACCTTATCAAATCCGTAAAGGATTTGATAATACAGAAGAGGCAAGTTCGTCATGAACGCGGATCTTGGCCCAAAAAGAAGACACACCAAAGCCAAGTAGCCTCTCATGCAGAATTTCTTAAGGGTTTCGTTAAGTCATCACGGATAAGGAACGTTTGACGAATCCCTAAGAACGTCGGAGCAAGCCTGTGTCTCTCAAAACTCAATGCAACTGGTTTGTATGATTACAATGTGAGAGCCCAAGATAGAATAGTGGGCTTATAAATATTTTGAACTTTTTAGGCAGAACTTTTTCAGAACTATATGCTAAATCATAAGGCGAGATTAAACTGGTAAAATTTTCCTGGGGTGAATTCTCGAGATCAGCTAATGTAAGATACAACAATATATGGACACGTGGACAAACGTGTCATGGTACCTTGGGTCTTTTTTATACTAGTTGTGTCGTAAGCTCATTAGTAGTCACATGCATGAGAAAATTTTTTATCCTCTAAATATGGTTTTACTTACCTTGTACTTGACCAGCATCTGAAAGAAAACAACCGGACTCAATTGTAAGAGAGTTACTGGCAAAGATGATAGAAATATATAAAATTAAAGAGACCAGGGCTAAAAAACTACAAGGTTTCATAACGATCAGTTATTTAAACTCTGGCTGGGAAAACCTAAAATAGGAAATCAATAAGATGGATATGGATTCGTTCGACCTTTGTAAAACCGTTTACAACCTGTTCTTTCTAGTGTTATGATTTTTTTCTAGTAGCACAGTGGAACATCGTCTAAATACCTACACGTTCAAAAACCCATCTTGTTGTTAATATTGCATTCTTTCGACTCAAACGTAAGACACTATCCAGGGGCACCAACGAGAATGTAGATCAAAGCCACTTAAACGTAGCATTGTTAAACGTATGTTAGTATTTAATCGGTCACGGATATAGGCATTTTTCATCTGTTCGGATTTCCTAGCTGAAAGTCTAGTGATCCGAAGATTATAGGGATCAAAACCTACCTTCTCGAAAATTTCAGCCAGAGAAAAGGCTCCCGAAAATTCTAGGTGACCTTTTAAGGGTAAAAATCGGTTAAAAATGGGCAATTATACCATTTTTTAGATGTTCGAAAATCCTAGGAGAGGCAGGCAAGCAAGACGTTTTGCAACAAACGTTCCCAAAATTTTAGATCTCAAATCGTCTTCCGAACAGATATTTTCCGAAAATTGTCGTGGGGTACCCCTGACTATCTGAGACAGTCGTTAATACGACCACATTTTACAGTTCCTCGGCGGTTCTTTTCACAGACAATTGAATCCTGAACTGCAAATGCACCTAAAAATATCTTGGCGAGTTCTTTCTTCCGGGATTAATGAAATGTGTGGGTAGTTATACATAACTATGAGAATAAGCCATTTGTCCGTATAATAACAGGGAAAAGATTCCCGGAAAAGATGCTTCTACGTATACTGATTTCCAAGCTCAGTAAAGAGGTAGACATACTTACGTAAAGACAAGCCCAAAATGATCACAGCCAAAATCCACAAAGTATTCATTGCATCTGCAACTGGAAAATGGGATACAAACAAAGTCATTTTTGAAAATGAAATTTTTTGCTGACTTAAAAAAACCTCCTCTTGATAAAAATACAACAACAGAGCAAACATCTATTTATTTGATATGAAAAACGTTTACAATTATCAGACGATTCCCACAGCGGAGCAGCGCTGTTCTAGGTGGGTAGCAATACAGAAATAAACAGGGCTAGCTAAAAAATGAATAAAAGAAAAGCGAAACAAGGAAACGCTAGTAAAAATAATAGAATAAGGTGCATATGACGGTTGTTAAGTGATGGTAATGGGTCTCAGAGAGGTTAGTTCATGTCAGCAAAGCTCTCCATGTAAACGCTGGACAACGCCTTCTTGCAACACACAGGCTCTGCCGCTGAAGTTATATGTCGCCCGTCCTCGTCTTGCAGCCCCGAATAATACTTAAAATGGCAGCTGAGTATCCGGCGCCTTTAAGAAACAAGAATTGCGGGACCAAGGGTACCTCACCTCATGAGATTAAGGAAACCATACTCTCAATGAATTAGTGGCTATAATGACTTGCTAGACCCCTGACGAACTGTTCATCAGTTGGGTGGACGGAGCTATGACTTTTACAAGCAAAATCAGAAAGGAAGCCTATATTGCGATTAAGACATCGGTTGACCCAAAAACTAAAATTAAGGTTGGACGCTGAAACTCAAGAACAATGTTTTTACTTGGTAAGACAGCTCAAACAACAACCGATATGTATCGTTATTGTTTTAGCTTCTATTTAAACGTTCTCAAAACATAGCCAAGAAAAGTCTTAATGATGCTGACAGTTTCGATGACTGTCAGCCATCTTTATCAAAACTAGAAAATCGTCAAAGGTGTCAGAAGCCTTAAATAGCCTTCTGTAGGTGTTAATTATTGCGATAAACGCGCAAAGTCACTCTGTAGACGCCACCCCCTCCCCTGCCCTGGTTGGGGCGTGGAGATCACTTGTGTCCATATGGGAGAAAGCTTATGGGCTTCCTCGTCCCTGTTCATAGTATAGGAGTTTTCGGTCTAATACATATGCATATATGTCCTGGATCCATCTCTTAAACTTGTCGCTTTAATTTCCTGCTCAACTATTTCACTTGCTCCCCAATTCATAATATGATTGTTCTGACGGACGTGGTCTGTTATGGCTGATTTATGGTGCTCATTGGTAGAAGCTCTACGGGTGGATCTAGTGAAATTCCTGGCAGAGATCTTTTCTGCTTCCTTTCTGTGTTCTGGTTCCCAGCTGTCTCCCTGTTTCACCGCCTTTTCACACTGGTTTCATGGAATTTTGTACACCACTCCAGCCTTTTTTTCCTGATCAACTTTGTCCTTCGGGTGAACTAAAACCTGTCGCGTGAGGGTGGTTTGAGGTTTAACCACTGCGGCTACCCTGTGTTTAGTGAACATAAGTTGTATTTTCTCCGTGAATGAGTGGATATATGGGACAGTCACCACTCCTCTTGATTTTTCTTGTGCTTTATCTTTCTTGGATTTATCTTTTCTAATAGCTTTCCCGTTCATTTGCTCTTCCACTCTCTTTATCACCCAATCCGGGTAACTACATGTATGGAGGGCTGTTCTTATGTGCTCTTCCTCTTGTTTACGGTCTTTCACTTCTTTCCGTATAACGTCCGTATGACAGCAAGTTTATGCTGAAGCGGATGATGCGATTGAAACGACAGGTACTGGTCTGTGTGTGTGGCTTTCGTGTAAACCAGTAGTTTGATGGATCCGTCCTCCCTCCTGGTGATAAGAGTGTCCAGAAACGGGATCTGCCATTTTTCTCTGGTTCGTGCGTGAATTTGATGCTGTTTGTTTTGTCTATCCCGTTGAGATGACCTGTCAGAGCCTCCACCTTTCCCCTCTTAATGATTTCTAAGATGTCATCCAGATATCTTTTCCATAGCTTAGGTTTACAGTCCGTGGGAGCAGCGGCGATGGCCTTTTGTTCTAGCCACTCCATAAAGCAGTGAGCCAGGATCAGCGATACTGGGCTGCCCATGGCTGTGCCGAACTTCTGTTTGAATAATTGTCCTCTGAAACTGAAGTATGTGGTGGTGGCATAGCCTGAACTTCATCCGATTACTTCGAGTCGTTATTACTCCCTCAGTTGTTGAGAGGAGAAAACGACTCGAAGCAATCGGATGAATTTCAGGCTAGTAAAGGCAATAAATTCTGTGAGATCCATTATATCATCTACCTCTAGGTTTGATGTATTATATAACCAACTGATCTTATGCAATCTACAATAGGTCTCAGAGGGTTGTTAGCCTTGTGGATTTCTGGTGTGCAGTACAATCTGGGTGTGGCCTTAGATGTAGGGTACAAGTATTTGTACATCTTATCTTATCTTATCTCCTTTTTTAACTTGGTGAGTTTTTCGATCAGCTTTCTCTTACAAGAACTGGTTGGATTAGCCTGCCGTTTCTCATAAGTGTGAACGTCATTCAACATGGTGTTGACTTTTTCCTCATACTCGGTCTTATCCATGACTACTGTGGCTCTTCCCTTGTCTGCTGGTAGTATCATGATGGAATCCTCCTGTTTCAGTGACCGAAGGGCCGTTTTTTTCTGCTCTAGAAATGTTGCTCTTCGGGACTTTCGATGACTTGATCGCTCCGACTATTTCTGTTCTCAGTTGGGTTGCTTCGTTCGTAGGGAGCGACTTGCATGCCATTTCCGTAGCTACTAAGATGTCATTTGTGGGAATGCAGTGCGGTGTTATTGCAAAGTTTAAACCTTTCGACAGAACAGGTCTAGTTTGATCCTGCTTGAGTTTGTATTTGGAAAGATTTACAACCCACCGTTTTATCTGTGTACCACTAAGATCTGGTACCGAATGTTTATTTTGCACCGACTTTGAGATTAAGCTTGCAAGCTTATCTTGCTGTCTACATTTTGTTTGTTTACGCACACTCTCGTGAACTCTTGTTAGGCGCGCGTTTAATTGTTGTTGGACGTCGCTTGGAAATCGCTCCGCTAAACGCCGCTTCTTGTCTTGTAAATGACTCATTTTCTGGTTTGTTAGCCGAATCCTCTTTTGAAGAAGGTTCTTTCTGGCTTTCTCTACAATGTTTCTTGCTTTGTCGGAATTAATAGGGCACTTTAAGCGAGGGCTTGGAGGAATGACACATTCGCCTTTACATCGCAAGTTGAACACCAAATGATTTCTATGGCGCGCTATTTGACATGTGGTATTTTCCGCTTTTCGGACAATCTTGATGGTCCCCTGTCCGTAGTTAGTTCGTAAATTCTTGAACAAATTCATCTGGCTAGTAAAGTAAGTATCATATTTAAATGTTCTCAAAACATAGCCATGGAAAGTCTTAATGATGCTGACATTTTCAATGACATCTTTCTCCCATATGGACACAAGTGATCTCCATCCCCCCAACCAGGGGGAGGGGGGGAGGAGAGGGGGCTTGTTTTCGTATTTTTAAAACTTTGATGTGAAAGCCGGTGGCCAGGCTTTAGATGACTGAAAACACCATCATCTACTCGAGCACGGAAGACAATGTACATCAGAGTGATGCTGCAATAGTCATGTTTGCCATGTTTAGATAGTTGGAGGCCAAGCACGGACAGCGTGACAACATCCATTTTCTACTCACATTCATTTCGTGAAGACCTCAATGATTCTGGTGCAAATACCAACTAATGATGAGGAAAAAGAAGAGGAGGACAAATTCTACCAGCAGTTGGAAAATATTTTGGATGAAACATCAAGGCATGATATGCTTTTGGATTCTCTAGGCGCCTGGAATGCAAAAGGTGTTGATCAACAACAAGTTGGAGATCAAGAAGGATTTGTGGGAAAGTATGGCTTACAAGGACAGCAAAAAGAGAGTAGTTTGTCAGTTTACCATTAAGTCCAATGTTATGTCAAGTGTTGCTGTAAGAATGAGAACCCCGGAAAACGACTTATTACTTTTAACAGTTGGAAATAATTGGACGTCTTCCGACACCAGAGCATAACACGAACATTTACTCAAGACCTATTGGCCAACGCCCTTGACAATGCAACCGAGGAAGTTAGGCGAAGTGTACGCATGATTGGAACCAAAATATAAGATAGCAGCAATTCCACAGCGGCAAACCGTTGAGTGGTGCGCGATCACGCCGTTGTAGACCTGGATCAGTACCAGCCTCGTTCCCAGGGTTCTTTCCTACGCGCCCTACGGAGCGAGAGAGGGAGAGAGAGAGAGAGACACTGGAAAACGCTGGTCACGTGTCTCTCAGAATCTGGGAGATTGCAAACAAACGATTTGGGGGAGGGGCAGGTGAGGGTGATATTTGTCTCTACAGAGCGTAGACAGGTCAGTGCAGCCATAAAATTGTGTACCTGACTTGATCTTAAACGCCGAAAATAATGCACAAAATCTTTGACAGCGAAAGCGTAACTTCCTGCAGAATATTTGGATGTTCATCGGATGTTTATCAGCGATGCTTTCATTTGGCACATGCAACGGAAATCGCGGAGGATTCACCTTTTGTGCAGTCAACAATAATTTAGGTATCCTGGTAGTTGCCCCAGCAGGGATTTCGCCCAGGAGGCGAAATCCCGAGAAGGCACTCTAGTAACTCGCGCGTATGATATTAACGAAAGTACTTACAGTTGAAAAATACAGTCATACAGTCAATATAGAAAAAAATCTCGATTTGCTTCAACAGGGGCCGCGAGGAATCGTTAGGTAATGATGACGTTTCCATTGTTTGCGCCCGCAAGTACGAAGTGATTAGGATGACGTAAAGACAGAACATCCCCAAGGGACCGCTTAGGTAGATTTTGTGACATTTATTGTGCAGTCATACTTCGACACTCTTTTGCGTTACGTGTTATCAGTGACATTCTGTGGAGCAGTTGTTTCGGTGAAAGTTGTGGACCAAAATTTTAACGACACTCGTTAAGAGCAGAGGAAGTTATAAGGTGCGTATAACTGTGTATATATAAACACTTGGAGAGTTTGCCAGACACGATTTCACAAATCTTTCATT